CTGGCGATGTTTAAATGCTAACAATCGTAAAATTATCGCAATTTTAAAGTTTTTAGTTGAAAAAATACAACAGTACAACGTGCATGATTTTTTTTAATTTTCTTATTAACATTTCATTCTTACATAATTAATTCATTTGACAATCATTTAGATAAATTATTTGTGAAAAGAATACCAACTATCGTTTATTTTCATTAATGAATATACATACATTATAAATCTAAGCTAATACATTAATTTGTTTGAGGATTTTTTTTAGGATAGCCGTCATTAATCCAAATTAGTAATACAGTTGTTGTAATTAAAGGCATATCTAAGTAATGTATTACTGATATTGACGATTTTAGAACAGTTCGTCCCAACCTCGTTGTTCTTGAAAAAATCTTGACTAGTATACTTGTAAGTTTCCTGACGTATATGCGCCATTGAGGATGAGCTCCAGAGATAGCAGACTAGTAGCGTATTTGTTTGTTGGGGCAGGAGAGGCCATGCAACCACTTGTACAGATAAACAAGCTTATGTTGTCAACACTACCAGAAAGAGTTCCCATCGTCAGATGGGGTATATGAAGGTTCCAAGAATGAACTATTGACATGTCTGACTCTGAACAGTTAGTAAACGGACTTAACAATGATCTATAGACATCGATCGCTTGTTCTTGATATTTGAAACTGCATGCATATATACGTTTATGAGAGTGATTATTTATCTTGTGTCTGACCAAAACTAAATGCCTGCATGGTTATATCTTGCCATACGTTTGTATTGGTTTGGTGGGTGTTCACTCAAAATCGTAATTCAAAAATTGTGTTTGTGAGATGTAGATTCACTTCAATACCGAATTTCGTCTATATATTTCACAAGTGTATACCACTGAAAAGATCTGAAGGTATATTACTCCCATTTTGTTTGGGTGTGAACCATCGATGTTTACAGCAATATTTAATGAATAAGATGATGATGGTTGAAAGAACTATGAGCATCATGTGGCAAATATTACATGCATGTCGGACCATGAGTTGTCAATCTGTATGAAAAGATTTCCAATACAACCATATTGAGTAGGAATTTTTACATGCTATACTCTCGTACTAGTATTACAGGGTTCTTGTGTCGTTTAACTCGGACACACATCTTTTACTTTAAGATGTATGAAAGGTTCTAAATATATATATATATCTTAAATGTAACAATAATCAAACGCCTATAGGCAATCACTAAAATGGTATGAAGTTTTTATACAGATTTATTCTTATTTACACAATCATTAACAAACTAAATAAATTTAACAAAGTAACACCGTGACACTACGATATAACAAATAGGATACTAATTATTTTTAACCATGCTATGCAGAAACTTTACACATCAAGCAGGAACATATATATTAATATACTGTTCCCAGCATCAAGTTAGTGCACGTGAATACCAATTAGGTACACGATGTGTGATTTTGTATAACTAAAAATATCCAAGCGAGCAATAACTTTGTCAAGCAAACATTTTTTTTCACTATGCCTCTCTTTATCTCCGCTCCTTTAAAATAACTATTTCGCTTTTCGTCGATCATTCTCTATATTGTTCTCTATTCGGTTTTTTTTTCACTATGCCACTCTATCTCCGCTCCTTTTTCCCATGTCGTCCTAATCCTTATAAAGATAGAGACATTAGACATAGAAGGGGCTCTCTTATCTTCAAAGAATTAATATTGATAGTGACTATAAGTGCTGCATTACTTTATATATCTGCATGTTTGCCAATCGACAAAGCTTGTATTTGCGTGAAGAATTTTGTTTTCTTCAAAAATATGGTCCAGAATAATGACAAAACAATATTCATTTCAAATGTTCAAAGGTCATGTTTATAATTTTTTTTAAACTTATTATCAGCAAAAATAGTGGATAATATTATTATCAGAACATCATTCATTAAAAGGTGGAATTATAATTTCAAACACACACAAGATAAACAACGTTAGACACAAATATATGGTTCAATAAATGTTACCTGTGCACACCGGGTACCTCAATAAAGAGGCCATGCATGAACCTGTATTATATAATTGTGTAATACGAATTTTTCGTTGACAGGATGTCACTGGAATACCCAGGGACGTGTATCTAATATACGTCCTTGGAATACCTAACTGAATGTGTCGCTCTGACACGACATCTATCAATAATTCTGACATACCTATTATCAATTCGGGAGGAAGCCAAAAAATATATATAATAAGATAACGTAAATATTATTTAAAAAGAAAAAAACCTATAAATTTTTCACCGAACATACCAGATAGAGTCACACATTTAACTGTAAAGCTAAGTGTCTTTATAAGTGACCGTTCCGAATAGATCCCGTATCAATTTGATATAATTTAAAGATTAGTTAAAAAAAAACCACTTGTAATAAAAAAATTGAGATGTCCGATATTTCGATATTTACATATCTATAACCTGGGAATATTATACTATATCAACATATTATGTCCCAGCTAAAACCTCTTCCTAACATTGCTCCTTGTCAATAGCCGTTAAATATCATAATTAAAAAAATGTTATTTTATATCGTATAACTTTATTAATTGAAAAATTATCTTGTCTAAATACGGATCTATTCTTTATACAAATCAATGCACTTTATATAAAAGAGGCATACTAATGAATCTTCTGTAAATCAGTGATTGTTACAAGAACACTGCATTTGTCTTTCTTATAATTGAAACTGTTCTTCCTTATCAAATCTATAATTTTTTTTTGTTATTAAAAAAGGATAATAACCATCGAATCTCCCTCGAAACAATATTGTTCAAAATGGTCTTCACACACCAACTTGTGCTTGCTATAGATGCAACTATTTGCTGTTAGTTTAAGGTTGTACAACCATGTCTGATACAATTCTTTCTTTTTTTTGTGGGATTGGGAAAACTATGTAGACTTTTGTCATAACCTTGTCTGACAGAACAACCGTACGCTTGACAAGACATTTGACACTGAATAACCGTCTACGGTAATCCCCAATTGATGATGGGAGTTTTTAACGCACGGTCGGTAAATCCTCGATTCTTTTTGTTCTTTGTGGTTTATAGATATCACGTGACTTTTTAGATCGAACATGCCGACAAGATGGCGATATGTCGAGAACTGATAGTGAATTTCAAAAATCGATTTTGATCTCTTTACATAGAGAATAAAAGTTTTTTATTTATGAACATGTGGTTTTTTATGCTTAAAGAACAAAATATCAATTTTTCATTTTTTGGCGGAGTTTCCCTTTAATGAAACTTTACAATAATGTTGACTGTCATGTGTGGAAGCTGCAATTGGCGTTGGCATTTCCAAAATGGCTGCCGTTACCATGGAAACAAGGCAAAAAGGGAAAAATTATGCGTAAAAGTTGTAAATCCGCTAAATGTTCTAAATAATTACAGAAAGATGTATAGCCATCAGTATATATGTGCATTCACTGTTTAAAATTTTAAAACTGGCTGCAATTTAGTGGCAATTGGGGAAGGGTGACATCCGCTATTGCTTGCAATGGCAAATCTAGTTCTTCTTCTTCATCCTCTTCCGCCGCTTTTGAATTTGAACTTGTCCGCACCCGTTCTCCAAAACCGCTTGTCAGATTAACTAAGGGTTTCACAATATGTTAGACTAACAAGTCTAGTGGTGCAATCAGGGTTTTGTTTGTGCAACAGGGTTTATAAAGGGGTACTTTGAGGGGCGAAAAGAAAGGAGGGTTTTAATATAGAACCCTATGGGATTTAATTTTTTAAAATTTTTAAATGATTATAAATTGAAAACCGTTTGTGATAGACACAATCTTTTTATTTGATAATGTTCTAAATGATAAAGCACATTAAATAAAATTCAGGGTAAGTCCCCAGGGGTCACCCCTCCCCCTGCCATTTAGGAAAGTTCTGATATCTTATAAGTGATCAAGATCCCCACTCCTAAACCATATACTGGTTTGTCATGCTAAGATGGTTTGAATGATATACAGGGTCAGTCCCCAGGGGTCACCCCCACCCCCTGCCATTTAAGAAAGTTCTAATATCTTGTAAATGGTCAAGATCCCCACCCCTAAACCATATATATTCTTGTTTGTCATTATGAAGCAAATAAAATGAAATACAGAGTTAGTCTCCAGGGGTCACCCCAACCCCTGCCATTTAAGAAAGTTCTAATGTCTTGTAAGTGGTCAAGATCCCCACCCCTAAACCATATATATTATGGTTTGTCATTCAAAGATGGTTTGAATGATATACAGGGTCAGTCCCCAGGGGTCACCCCCACCCCCTGCCATTTAAGAAAGTTCTAATATCTTGTAAGTGATCAAGATCCCCACTCCTAAACCATATACTGGTTTGTCATGCTAAGATGGTTTGAATGATATACAGGGTTAGTCCCCAGGGGGTCATCCCCCACCCCCTGCCATTTAAGAAAGTTCTAATATCTTGTAATTGGTCAAGATCTCCACCCCTAAACCATATATATTCCTGTTCGTCATGATTGAAAGAAACAATAGAAATTACACTTGAGAGTTACGATATTAATGAAAGGCATTAATATTCTCCCCATTATACATCACCTTTTGCACATTTTTCTCCTAATAATGTGTAAAATCATATTGAAAATCAGAATTACCTCCCTTTGACATATTGTATTTTTTTAGCTGTGTTCCCCATGTTAAGTTGTAGATCAAGTTGTAAATAAGCACTTTTCAAGTATTTTAACACTCGAATAATCTGACCGTATGAAGATATTCATTTATTTTTACATAATTCATTGCGTTTCTTTAAGAAAAAAAGAAATACTAGACAACTTTTCATGATTACATATCCTTCATCTATAAAACTAGTGTTGAAATGTTTGTAATTGGATTGCTATGTTAAATAATTGCTTTTAAATATTCTAAAATGTTATTTTTATGTTCCAAATGCAAAGATTGGTCATAACCAGTCTTATTATTTTCATATTTGGCACTTTTTTCTACTTCAGTTTTGGCCGTCTAGTTTTGGCGAAGAAACCATCCTGATGTTGGGGTAACAGGAATTTCTGCAGAGTGGTTGTCAATGACATTTTGTGAACTTTACAAGTAATTTAAACACAGATTTAGTAAAATGAAACATAATTGTTGTTTTTTATGGTATGAAACTGCTTAAAAAGCCTTTGAAAAGTCTTTTTGTGGTTTTTTTCAGGGTATCTAATTAAAAACTTCCATATAAGGCAAAATTTAACTAAGAGTACTTCAAGACTTTAGTTCCAAGATGTACTTGCAATGCTGGTCAAAGCAAACACAGAAAACAATTCATATTTATTAAGCATAGTATTTTACACCATTCTTTTAAAAACAGTGCAACTTTATATACCAAATATACATTGGCCGCAGTATGGGCTGTAGTATAAATTTTCCGCTATCTTTACAAGTTCAGCCTTTATGAATGTTGTATTGAAACTGGAACTTGAAAATTGGATACATTTCATGATTAATGCAAAAAAAGTAGGAAAAGAAGTTAAAAAGTCCCTTATAGGGGTAAATTCAGTAAACAAATATACGTCATCAGGGACCGCCCATTTGGCGGAGAGCTTTCTGTACAAAACTGAAGTCCTGTGCTCATCTAATTGGTAGACAATGTTTGTAATAAATATTTTTTGATAGATGGATCAAAACTAGAGTTAAAAAAAATAAAAAAATGAATGCTGAATATACTAATTTTTTTTACTACAGGGTTGAAAAGTAATGGGGGTCAGTAAAGGAATTAAGTGCGAATCTACTGTGTTTGTAAACAAGGCCATGTGAATGCCCAAAAATGCCGCATGACCCTATGTTTTTATTGTTGCAAAATATAGGGCTACATTTGTACTTTCATGAATGATATATGAAAGCTTCCAGTTTCTAAAGGTAAATCAGGTATAAACTTAATTCAAGACATAGAATAGCATTAAAGTCAATGGGAGATTTTTTAAATGTGAATAAGATAGAAGACATTCTTTGGTTTAAAAACTGACTTTTTCTAGTTTGTAACTGTAATTTAGCGAAGGACAATATTATATATTCTTAATAAGTCACAAAAACAGATTACCATGTTGATCAAGTTTAACCATTTTCAATGTATAATGATAACTTTCTGTTCTGAAAACATTTTACCATAACCTTGCAGTATAATTTACAATATGTAAGAAATCAATGGGTCCTTTTTAAAACGGTCTTAAGAACCGAGTACAGGGACTCATAATTTTTTTAATTTGATTGCATGCTACCTTTGTTTTTACAGTCAATAATATTTTATGATTTGATAAATATATTACAGTGACGAAAAAACATAGGAGCAAGAAAGCTAAGGTAAAGGAATAAACAATCAGAAAAAAAATAACCCCAAATATTCTATATAAAGAGGACAACAGAACCCTCCCCCCAAGGACAAATTAACAATAAATCCAATAAGTAGGTCCTGTAACGGAAGACGTTCGGGATAAAGGTGGGGAAATTTAGACTGCCACTGAAAATGAGAGTATATTGGATATGGACAGAAATTTTGCCTTGCAACAGGCCACTTATGGACCCTTCAAAGAGCTGTTGCAAGGGTTCTTATTTTTTATGTAGCACTCTCTCTACACGACCCACTCTGACTGGACGTGGCTGTGTACTTGAACATCCCACACAACCAAACGGACGTCCCACTTTGGCAAAGGTCGGTCGGAAGAGGACTTAAGTGACCAATTTTCTATTCCCCTGTCTCACTTGAAGGTAAATAATTTTAGAAAGGTTTGTTATAAATCATGTCAATACCGAAGTACTGACTACTGAGCTGATGATAAACTCGGGGACTTGTCCACTGTAATAAACAACGAAATAAATAACCTGTAAGCTTCAATAGGATCCTTTTGAAATAGTAATAAAAAAGAATAAATGCGTTCACCTCACAAATATACATTGTCAATTTTTTAGCTATGCTGGCGCTTTATTACTGTGTGACCAAGCATAGCATACGCTTGATCAGACTCCTCTTCACAGTAGGAGCAATTGAACATTGTTCTTGATTTCCATTTCTAGAACGATTAAACATTATTTCTTATGAAGCAAGAATCTTGCAATCTGATTGGTTAATTACCGGGGTGTAAATAACACCCACCCTAGTTCACCAGGGGATAAAAAAAATATGCCAAAATTTTCCAAAAATAAAATTTTTGCCAAAATTATGAAAATTAAAATGTTGGAAAAAATAATAATAAAGAAAAAAAAATAGATTTAAGAATTTTTTTAAAAAACCATCCTAGTGAAGAAAAAAAAAATTTCACCAATATTCCCCAAATGATCAAATTTTCAAATTTTCCACAAATAAAAAAAATAAAAAAATTTCTGACGCAGTCCGTATAATTTCGGTTTGTGACCCATTTAAAATGGACACTTCACTATGGTAACGGCATGCATGATGTCAAAAATATTTATTCTGATTGAACGAAGTAACGGAACTGAACAAAAACCAACAAGAAAAGACATATGCTACAATAAAGGGAGAACATTACGGACATAAAATCAAACTTAAAAATGAAATTATCCAGATAAATAAAAATAAATTCAGGTAAAGATTCGAAGGCGTCATTATCACCGCTGTCAAATTGTTTGGATTTTGTAGGCTTAGCCTTTAATACAATGAGTAGGTAAATATCACTGATCGGTTCATTAGATCTACTAGGTCAATATTAGGCTATTAATAGTTCGAGTGCTATAAATATACCTTCTTGAATGCCACACCTTTTGATCTGCCAACGAAATACAGGTAATAAATATAGGCATTCAAGGAAAAGTATCTTATTAAAAATAAGGGTAGTCAAAACAAACAGTGCTGTAATTATAATCTGTGCAGGTAAGCTGAGTTTCCCAATTAAAATTTCAGGTAATATTTTTATCTTCCTGTTTGTTTGCAATACATTAATATTTTGTATTTTTTCTGTATGTTTGAAATGACTTTTTTACGGAATTATACAAACACTCTTCTTTGACAGCTCAGTAAATGTTAACGAAAGATAACTAAAATAAGGAATATATATTTATTCGTTCAATTGATCAAGAATATAGATAATATTCAAGATAAGAAAAAAGCGCAAAAATATCAAAGCACTTGTCACAATCACAAATAAATAAAGGATACATGTCTTTGGAATTTACAACATGAATAGTCACATAGTGCCATCACAAGTATACACTAGTATATTGTCAATTTAGTCCAAATGAAGGAGGTATGAAACAGCACCTACAAACTGAACTGTCGGAATGTTTACATTCTGGTGTCGGGTCTTTAGGTTGGAGAGTACCTTTAATTTCCCTGTATCCTCGCTTATTGGTTTGCTCATACATTAAATATTTCTATGAACAATACTTTAAATATAATGTTTATAAATGTAATATTTTAGTCTTAGATGCATGCTTTTTTTATTAGTTGTTTTTGGCTTTGAACTAGCTGTCAGTAACTGCGAGTACTCTCAGATCTGTACTTAGTGTCTTTTTGTTGTGGGGATGTATAAGTACCGTGCCACATCCACTCTGTGATTTTGTAAGATGTATTTCTGCTTTGTATCCATCTGATGAGTTAAGCCCTTTTCAACTGATTTTTATGGTTTGTTCTTATGTTGTACTGTTACACCAAAGTCCCAGGCTAGGGAGAGGTCTTACCTCGCCACATTCTGTATGTGCCTGTCCAAAGTCAGGAGCCTGTAATTCAGTGGTTGTCGTTTGTTACTGTATATCATATTTGTATTTCGTTCATTATTTTGTACATAAATCAGTCCGTTAGTTTTTCTCGTTTGAATTGTTTTACATTTGTCATTTCGGGGCTTTCTATAGCTGACTATGTGGTATGGATTTTATTCATTGTTGAAATCCGTACGATGACCTATAGTTGTTAATTCTGTGTCATGTGGTCTCTTTTTGGGAAGTTGTTTCATTGGCAATCATTCCATATCTTCTTATTTTTATATTTAAACAGTCGTTCTTTCATTTATTTGTTTCAATTTTAATTTCTTACTTTGAAGTTGCATTTCTGTAAATATAGTTATAGACAATGTAATTCCCAAAGGAACTCCCTTTACGACTGAAACTGTGCCACTTTTACTATGAAGTTTCGGAAAAAATATATCCTAGAATGGAAAGTTGATATGCACTACTTTTTTATTCAAAGGTCAAATATAGGGCTGTGGGGCATATTTTCAACATTTATATGCCCCAAACTTCAAAGAGTTTAAACTTATACTAAAATTCTGCACTACCCCTCCCTTCACTTTATGTCTTACTCAGAATTTAATTCCACCGCCTACCATATGCATTTATACTGTAACATTCCCAAGTTATGTCTCTATGAGATGAAACATACAAATCATATCTGGGAACCAGTACGTAAACATAACAAAATATCTATGAATATTATATATCTCCCCAAAAGAGGCATGGTTTATGAAACAGCTGTATTTACAAAGTGCAACCTATACTAAATTAAATTGTTTTCTCACATGAATTGTAAAAAACCAGTTTGAAACTATTCTGATAACAAATTGAAAGCATTTCAGAATACTATAAATGTAAAGTTTAGTAGTTAATAATTCCAACATTCAAGATTATATAAAATATCCAATCCTGCCTCTGTCTCCAGTCCACATCTTACTGTATGCCTATTTATCAATAAAAGTTCACTATTTTTGCTTCAAATAGTCAGTTTAGAAGTCTTGTCACAACAATGTCATCTCTAACCATATATCTAACATAAGTTAGCTAATAGATGAACTAGAAGTGTTCAAACAAAGCCATATCTGCAAAAGTTGTATGTATGAAGTTACCAGTCTGATGTATGCATTCACTAAAAGTTTTATAAATTGACTACTTACATCTGTTTTTTGCATACTTTCTTAACACAGTTATTGTTTTCTTTACAAAAGACCTTTATAATAATAAAATCATAGCATTTACAGGTTAAATTATCTGTTTTATGACCAAGGGGGTAGGCATTTTTCTCTATTTTTTGCTCCTAGGGCCTCAAATTTGCTAAATAATTCTGCTGTTTCTATGAATATGCAATATTTACTACGTATTTAGATAGAACAC